ACAGCAAGAGGATGCGACTGAAAATATCCTTTTAGCGTATGATTTTTATGTATGCATATTTTAAAGTTTTCACAAGACTACTGTCAACACCCATGTCAACCTGTGTACTTTCAAATACTAAGCCTAAGAAAGGTTTGGGATTTTTGTGTAGATAATTTAAAAAGCAAAGATGCAGGCTTTGCCTGGGTGAACCAACATCTTGCCAAATGTATTTTGCAGAATAGGCAGAAAAAAAGCTGCTGATTCTCTACCTCCTTTCCCGGTAGAGAACCAGTTCCACTACTTTAAGGGACAGCTTTAATTAGCAGGTGAGAATCTTCAAGAATCCTTTTGGTGGACACTATTTGGAAAATACACTCTCTTGTCATCTCATAATTGGTGTTGCCAACTTCTTTAGGTACCTGTTGAAATTACATGTCATGATGAAAGCGAGAATGTATATATTTTCTGCTCTCTGTACTAACACTTATCATCTGAGACACTTTCACTTTTTCAAGAGTAATTCTGCAATGTAGTTGTTTGCTGCTTTTAAATAACATTGTATGGGTGGCTAAAGGGTTATGAGGCTTTCTATGTTTTTATTTTCCTAAAGGAGATGTGCATCCTAGGTTGAAAACAGATAGTACATGCCTAAACTTCCTGATTATTTAGTAAATAGATATTGGTTTAATTGATTTATCAAGTATTGGTCCGTGTACATAGAATCATTGAATGGTTTGGGTTGGAAGGGACCTTAAAGATAATCTAGTTCCAACCCCCCTGCCACGGGCAGGGACACCTCCCACTAGACCAGGTTGCCCAAAGCCCCATCCAGCCTGGCCTTGAACACCTCCACGGATGGGGCATCCACGACCTCCCTGGGCAACCTGTTCCGGTGTCTCACCACCCTCACAGTAAAGAATTTCTTTTTAGTATCTAATCTAAATCTCCCCTCTTCCTGTTTAAAACCATTACACTTTGTTCTGTACAGCTATTGTTACCATTTTAGTGTAAAACTCCTTGGGACAATCAACTAAAATGAGATTCATGAAGTTTGGTACTTATTTTTTATTTGAAGTTCTTAGAAGTGGGAAAAGGGCAAAGTATATCTTTTACAAGTATTTGCTATGATAATAGTTTCTCCACAAGCCTCATTGCTGAAACATCCTGTATTCTCATTGATTCCAAGAGAAGTTCCTTAAAAGAAATGTAAATTAGTAACACCAGGTATGGATTTTAAATGACTTCATCCATGTAGACTTTCTCACATAGCTTCAAAATTGACATTAACTAATATTCAGAATATTATACCCAGATTGATGGTTACACCTCTTCAGTTTTGAAATATTTTCTTTCATAAACATGTATATGTGCATGTAAGCTATAGTTCTGTTTCTTTCATAAGTTTAATTCTTTGTGAACAAGCTGATCCAGTAGAGACTTTTCCTTTTTGGTTTGTCTTCCCATCTACACTTTTCAGGAGCGGAGGTCATAGTCTTCAGCTTGCTTCTAAGCCAAAGGAGCTCCATCATAAAGGTGGATTTCTTCTTAGACTTAAAAGGGGAATTTATTCTACATCCTGTCTTTATGGGGTTATGCTTGGCTCTGAGAAGGCTTTGCCAGGAGTTTCACTGATATGATTGGTCTTCTTGCTTTGTAGCCTTCCTTAGCACCTCAAGCAGGCTTTTCTTAAATTGGCTTGGTTATTAGTTTTAATATTGTCTGAATAAAAGAAATTAGTGCTGTAACTATGGACAGGATGCAATTGTATGTATAATTATATACACACGTATGAAAAATAAGAATGATTTTCATCTTGGAACCCAGCTGTGGAATCATAACCAGCAGTTTCATACTGCATCTGTGGAATGCAATATTAATATTACCTATAATTACACTGGACTGTGAGAATACATTATTTTCTGAACTTTCAGTGTTTTCTGGAAAACAGTTCAGAACTGTGCTGGTGCACTGCAATAAATAAAAGAAATATATGAATCAAACCACAAGGAAAATTCACGGACTTTTGTAGTTGCATTGACGATGTGTGGTATGTGATATTTTATCCTGTGTTTTCATGTGTGGTGATCCTAATCAACACCTTTTTGTGAAGAACAGGGAACTCAATAGTTTGCAGCCACACCTTTACTGCTTTTTTTTTAACATACATTGCAAAACACACCTTTCTGCAGGAGCCATGTCACAGTAATTGAAAAGATACACCTTTAACAACTTTTAAAAAGAGGAGGAATAAGAAAACTTAACAACCTAAAATGCTACATTTAGAAGAGCCAAAGAGCAAAGATGTAAAACCAGAAGAGCAACCATATGGGTCAGACCAAAGTTCTGTGCAGCCCAGTGTGGGACTAACAGTCAAAGATCAGGAAAAAAAAAAGCCAACAGCACAGGGTATAGAGCTACTTTCCTCAAGTACTCTGTTAGCCTGTAGTCGTTTGTAGTGCAAAGACTTTCTGATTTCTCTGTGTTTAGTAGGCTTCAGAGAATTTTCATTTTTTTTTTTTCATTAATTACACCAGTCTCTACTGAAGCCTGGGTGAACTTTTAGTATCCAAAACGTCCTATTGCAAGGAGTTTCACAGATTAAGTACATTTTGCATGAAGAATCATTTCCCCTTGCTTTTTTTGTCCCTGTCATCTCTGAGCTTCTTTTGATACCTCCTACCTTGTGACAACTCGTTACTGTCTTCAGCAGTCAGATACTGTGATGATGGGTATTAGAAATTCCTAAGCTAGATGAATGAAGTGTTTTATAATAATAGTTATTTTGATTTTTAACATCTGGAATCTAAAATCTCTATATATGCTGTCTTTGGGCGTTTTGGTCTTTGGGAGCAGATGTTCCTGTAGTTCCTTTCAACATGTTTCTTTTTTTGTCTCTGACATCCTACTGTAATGGATTAATATAAGCAATTTGGCAACTACTCAGGCCTTTAAATAAACTTTAATAAGTTGGAGAACCATTGCATCTCTCATGGCGCCAGACCAGCAACTATCTATACGTGGTTCTTTCGTCTTATGCAAGGGTTGTTTCCCCCCTTTTATTTTTTAAATCTTAGATTATTTATCACTTTTTCAATAAACAAAATGCAGAAGAATAATTTTAGCCTTTCTTTTTCTTTAGCAAGATTGGTAGGTCCTTAAGCATAATAAATCAAAGCCAAAGTAGATTTTGCTTCTGATAAGTTTTATTAAAAAAATATATATATTTCTTGATTACTTTATTTGTTTTCAAATACTCCCTTCATGTACTTTGTCAGGAGATGCTGGAATCATGATAGAACAATTTTGAGATGGATGAATCTGGGAAGTATTTTGTAATTGACAACTGCTGAAAGGAAAGAAAACAGCTTGACAGTCTAATTTCTTTATGATATATCCTGTCAAATATAGACTCATGAATTCTGTTTTGATTTACCATCTGAATATTACGGTCAGTAAGAGATTTCATTGCTATTTAATTTGTGATTCTAATAATTTTTGATAATTTTATTCAGTTTTTGTTTGCTTCACAGACAAGTGAAAAATGCAAAATAATTATATCCTCCTCCATTTTAACCTCATTTTTTATTGCTGATCAGTGAAGATTGTTCATAAAATCTTAGACCACTTAAAATATTTTTCAAGTTCAGTGCAGTTCACAATAATTAACAAAAAGTGAACTTAGAAATGTAGTAATAGATTTTTAGTATTTTTGTCTTTTGAGACAGAGCTGTACAAGGGAAATACATGATAGTCATCTGTAAGTATCAATGGAAATTTTAAACTTTGGATACCTGAAATTGTACTTTTAATATCAGGGAGAAAATGAACTGTTGTGTTTATATTTCAGACATCAGCCCATCAAAGGGGTCTCAATTGAGAAAAATAAGATTCTGTCTTCATAAATAGTGCAAGAAACTTTGCCAAATATTAATAAGAAATAAAATGCTATATTTGCATGTAAAAATAATTCCTTCAAATTCTACTGACTTGCCAGTAGTGGAATCTCAGTCACCAAAATTTCGAGGACTGCTTTTTGTGCATTGCCTAAAGGCCTTTCCTTTAGAACAAAATCAGGACCAAAAAAAAATTCAATATACGTTAAGGCACAACTTGAAAATTCCATTTAGTCATTCACGGCTGCTGAGCTCGATGTCAGCTGCAGCCAAGTCCCCAGTTTCCTACATGGAGTGTAGCTGTACCACTGTCATTAAGCTTATCTACAGTTTGGTGGAAATCACATGGAAGTTAGCAGTGAAGTGTGGTGAATTAGAGAACAGATATTTGAACTAGATTTTTGTTAGGCACTTCTGTAAGTGGAAGTAAGAGGTGTGGAAAAAAGACGTTTGAATCTGAGGGTCACTTCAAGCAATACCTCTGCATAGCTACTATTGCTGTTCTACCAAAGCTTCTCGTACAGATACACTTTTAACAGACAAACATGCTTTTACCAATGTAGTTTTGTGTGTTTTGATAGTAAATGAAGATTTTATTACACTGATCTAAGCACAGGTTCTCCTGCATACCCTTATCCAAGCTAGGTGTAGTTTGATAGTTTAGAATAGTAGTATTCTCTATGTTTCAAACCATGATATAGTCATCTCTCGTTGCAACTAATGAAGTCCCATGTGAAATATTTCTAGATTCTTTAGTTGTAATGTATTAATGTTCACAATTCATGGTATCTATAGTCTTTTAAAAGACTAAGTATCATCCTTGCAAAAAATCATCAGCCAAAGAAAGAAGTGTTAAAAGGTAATGTAAATATAATCAACTAATGATGATATTGAATAATGCGGTAAGTCAAGGCATCAAAAAGTCCTTCAGTTCTAGATAGTTTAAATTTCATTGAATCTAGAATACATATCTTGAAGTGCGTTCTTAAATTACATAGCAGCTGCCTTCAGTAATATTTTTTGAATTACTGTTAATTTTATTTTTGTTCTATAAAAATTTGATCATGGAAAACGTGTTATGCCTTGTATTTTAATTATCTATTTCCCCATTTTTTTATTCTATAGTGTTTTGGCAGGATATAATGGCACTATCTTTGCATATGGTCAGACAGGCAGTGGCAAAACTTTTACCATCACAGGAGGAGCAGAACGTTACAGTGATAGAGGCATTATTCCCAGGACTCTATCTTATATTTTTGATCAACTTCAGAAGGTATGAGACATTGTTTTCTGTTTGAGTGTCTGGTTTACAAATACATAATTATATTGAAAAGGCTGTCTTAATAATACCGTTAGAGAAAGCCCTAGTATTAATGCTGGAGAAAATGTTGAACTTGACATGACAACTTAAGCAAGAATACATTGCTAATAATTTTGCTTACCTGGTTTGTTGCAGTAGGCTGAAAATAATGGATATCGTTGGTGAGGGGTTTTTTAGTTCTAAAAACCATGTGTTTTTTTACTTGGTGCAACGTACATTCAGATCATGTAATTGGTATTTCTGGTCTTAACACTTATATTAGCTCTACTCTGGTTTTGTATTATAGGCACATCTTGTACAAAAATTTATCTGATTCCCATGTAAATGAACAGTGTTGTATAAAAAAGATGGAGCATTATTTTCACTCTTCATAAATTACCTAATTTCCTTGTCCTTGACTGATGCTCAGGGAAAAATAAACAACCAATCTGTAAAATTAATAATAAGAATTTTTAAATATTTAGCTTATGCCTTTTTTTACCTAATGTTTCTTATTAAATAGAATATACTAAAGAATGACAATACTAAATACATCTAATTATGATGAAAAGCAATTTTTGAAGTCAGTAATGCAAATGCTTTAAGTATTTGCAAGAAAATAGATATTCGTGTTCATTTTCCTTCTCTGTTTTCCTTTTAACTCCACTTATGCACTTGTATGGACTGTTTTTATCTGTATATGGTATCAGTAGTAAAAATCTGATTCACTTAATACAGTTGGATAGAGGCATGGTTTCATTTCTTTTTATCTATAACTGTACTTCAGAAAGTGCTGATGTAGTGGAGAAGAGTCATCTGCCTCCTAACCCTAAATAGGATGGAACAGGAGAAAGTGAATTCAGGGACAAAAAATACAAGACTTTTGAAGCTCTTACTTGCACTAAGACACTGCAATTTGAAACCAAGGAAACAAAACTTTTTACCCAAAATGAGAGGCAAATCAAGCCCTTTGTTTTTAATAACATCTCCTTTTAATTTATTTTTCAGAAATTCTCCTATTTCCACAGCTTCCTGTTTGAACAGTTCCTTACTACATTTTTTCCATCCGTCTGCTGTGTTCTTTTTAAATGATGTCCCTTGAAATAGTGAACTGTCCTTATCATTAAAAAAACATGGGAAACATCTATACAATGAAAAGGAAAAGTTCATATCTCACAGTACTTTGCAAAACAACTGTAGTAGATTGTATTATTAAATCGCTACTGTGAGCATGATGTGAGTGCTTTCATACTGGCTTCATCAGCTGAAAAGAACTGACTAATTTTCTTTTATTTTTGAAATCGTAGCCCATTATTTTGAGGTTTATGTTGTTGGCTTTAGGGCAGGAGAAAATTCTGTCTGCGAAAACCAGTTGTGTTAAGTTACATTTTGGCAATGTATTATACAGAAAAATTGAGGATTACAGAGAACAGCCAACATCATATACAGTGCTTAAATCGTATGATAAAGAAAGTGGAAAGCAGTATGTCACTGATGTTTTAAATGATATAAACCCTTGATTATTTTTGTTGTTGTTGTTGTTCCTCAGTTTTTGAAGCATAATCTTTCTATGAAGGTTTACCTCTTTATAATAACATTCTTTTTTTTGTCATAGGTGTGAAAAATGGTGTCTTGCATGGTTCTGTAAGCAGGCTGTATTGTTCTTTGTGTATACAAACTTTTCTAGGTATAAGGAACCAACAAGAAAACCCAGACTAAACTTAGGCACATAGTAGGGCTTTTGAGGGATTTTTGGTTTGGGTCTCTTTTGTGTATGTCTGTGTTTTGGTTTGGTTTGGTTTTTCCTTTTTCTTCTTGAGCCTTTATGTATATGGAAACAGAAAACAGAAAAGTATCACAAACTGAAATTGTAAACCATACCCAGGAAAATAAAAAGAGACAGAGTGAGGAAGCAAGGTAAAAGCTGTAGTGATAAATTTGTCCTCTAGTCTAGCTCTGACTCCTCTTTATAGCTCTTCCTTTTTTTCTATTTTTTATTTTTCTTATCCAGGACAGCAGTAAAGTGTATACAACTCATGTTTCCTACTTAGAAATCTACAATGAATGTGGTTACGATCTCCTGGACCCAAGACATGAGGCCTCCAGATTGGAAGATTTGCCGTGAGTAGCAAAATACAGAGATTCATCAAAAACAACAAGAGAAATCATTTTCAGATGCCCTGTTGCATTGTTTGGGGATTTTTTCAAACTGTGCTACTGATCTCAGTGTCAATTAACTCATGACCGTTGCATGATTAGATTTGCAACCTCAACTCCTGAAGTCAAGGTTTTGTGTGTAGCCATCCTTTGTATATTCTATAGACTTAAATTTTCTTCTTAATACTGCTTAATCATTTCGTTAGAGTCTGCCAGATCAGAAGGGAAGAGGCTTCCACAAAAAAATCACTACTTTTCTGGAAATAGATATATGAACTACATTCACACATTTGTCAGGAATTTGTCTATCTGTATATATACATATATAGATTAATATAGAGAATTACATAATTAGTTATGTCTGTGTATGTAGATACATGTATACATATGCATATTCATTTATATATGTATACGCATGCATATTTATTTATACATGTATATATAAATATGTATCAAGTTTCTAATAAGTGCAGGTATTTATATGTCAACTAAATTTGGTTTTGAAATCCTGTTGCACTTGCATTTTCACAGAAAAAAAAAAAACAGTTTTCCTAATGGTTAATTGTAAGGATATTGCCCATAGAAGATACCATTGAATATACCGTTATGCTTCTTAGACAATATGCCTTTAACAATTGTAACTTGTTTTGCTTAGGCAAAGTTGACAGTGTTCTAATTTTGTGACACTGTAGCTGAAACGTGGCATATGCAGATGCAGAGGCATTTGAAGAATCTTATTTATTAGAATGCAAAAATTTAATTTAATACTGACAATCTAATTCTGATGTACCTGGAGAGAGTTCCATGTTTATACAAGGAAATTACAGTTGTTTTCAAACATGTAAAAAGTATAAAACTATTGCTATAAAATATAGCTGGTAAAAGACTTCGAATTCTTGTGGCCATCTCTTGTTTTTGTAAAAAGATTTGCAGGGTTGTTCAACTGGGCAAAATTTTTTGAAGCTTTTCATTTTCTCTGAGGTTGTGCAAGAGTCTTTCTCCTCTAACAAGTTCTCTGTTGTACAGTATATTTGCATTTTATATAACTCCATGGTACTGAATCAAAACAATTTCGCTTCAGTTGTAACCTACCAGTACAAACTCTCCCTAATTACTGTGTATTAGTTATTGAATATTTATTCAATATTGAACTTAATATTGAATATTTGTTGCATTATTTATTTGAATTAAGAATTTTCTTGGCATTGAACAATAACACAAAAATAAGGACTGAAGTTATAAAACCATTAGTCATAGACTAAGTCAGGACAGCCAATAAGTTACTGCTTTACCTGTCCAAACTATGATAGATGACACTTGCATGTGAAAGCAAACTAAAATTAATGCTATTTTAGCTTAAAAAGTCAGTCTTTAAACTGCAGTAGTTGAGGAGCTACTTCACAGGGAGCTCAGATAACCATTAATCAGAATTGATGTGGCCACGGGAAAACATAATCTTAACTGCCAGCCAGCATAACTGATTCCCTGTTTTTGTGTGAAAGTTCTTTAAAGTCCTCTTTGACAGGGAAATGCAAGAAAAAGAAAAAAAAAAAGGGGGGGGGGGGGGGGGTATGCACAGAAAGATTAAGTTTATTTGAATTATAAATTAACCAAAGAGCCAATTAACTTCAGACTTCAGCAATGATATCTATATCAATATTTATTAGTAACATGCAGAACTGTTATGTTGTCTGGGGTAAAATACTTTAATTTTTTAAAAAATCTATGGCTAGATATTGGTTAACTATCTCAGATGAGTTTATACTCTAAACCAACTGGTATAACTGTGCTGCTTAATGAACAAGAAAAAAAGGCTAAAGGAATAATTTTCAACATACAGGAAATATATTTTATTCAGTCTGACTTTTTTGGTGCAAATAAACTTCTTGCCTGTCTGTCTGTGTTAATGTCAGCCCTTCCCCTTTTCAATGGCAGTACCAGCTGTGTGATCTAGAAAGTGGCCCCCATCCATAGATCTTCAAGAATCATATTTTTGGTGTTCTCAGAATTGCCATTGTTTAAAAGTTTCTAAGGGTGATAATATTATTAGCTCACTCTTTTCATATAAAATATATTCTTTCAAAATAAAGAGTGTTCATGGTGTTACTACTGAATACTAGAGATTAGGAGAATATTAAGATTTGTAAACTTAAACTTTTCTGCTTGATAATTCTGTTCTGAATCATTTCTTCAAAGATTGTTTTGTTCATTACCGTTCAGACAAATTACACTTTAAATGTGTAAAATAACATCAGCATACATTACATATTGTTTATTCACATCCATATTTGAATTTTTTTTCCTGACAACCCGCAGGAGGACGTCAGTGAAACTTTTCTACAATGGCTTTTCTAAAGGCATTGGATGAGTAAATTAATTCAGTTCAGATTATTGCTGTGCTGTTCAAGGCAACTTTACTTTTGACTATCAAAGTATTATTTAACAAACATTTTTTGTGAGTGACGTTATTGCAGTTGCCTGCAGATTCTGTCAGATCTTATGTGTGTGTTTGTACATGAACAGTCAGTCTCGTCGTTTCAATTCTAACTCGTTTTGCATGATGGGGTGACAGGGAAGAGAGAGACAGTGTGCAAGGCTCTTTCCACATCTCAGTAAGAAATGCCCAACAACAAAATGGTTAATAAGGTATCTGCTTTAATAAGACAATAAAAAGAGGAATATAGATGGCAAGTAACTCTTGCATCCCGTCAGATGCTGAGCAACCTGCGTTGGTGCAGCATTGGATGGAGCCTGGATGGATTTCCTCATGGCGCACTGTGCAGAGCAGCACAGATCCTGTCCTTTTGGTCATTTGAGCTATTATATAATTTCCTTACAAGAAACCAGCTGCATTTCTAAAGGGTGTTCTCATGAGAACTTCTTGCGGCGTTTTTTGATAAAGACAAGGACGTGCAGGAGATGTGATGACCAGGTAGAAGCTGCCTGCAGGCCCTTCTATTATGACCTGGCTGAATTTATTCTTCAGTCCAGGGCTCCCTGCAGCACAGCACAGGCTGTCCCTGCTGCAGTTAGTTGGATCATTAACTCCTAAATATGCAGCAATCTCTCAGTCAGTATCAATACACTCCTATGTCCATAAAGTGTAGAACAAGCAAATTGTTTTTCTTGTCTCGTGTGGAATTCATTGGAGACAGTGGGAAGGATTTCCCATCACAATATGATGTGTCAGGAGAATAGCCTGCACCAATACTTAATCATCTCATGGTTCTGATGTGTCTCACAAGCTAAGGAGATTATGCTCTAAGTCTATGCTTGAATGGAAAAATTAATTCTCCATGCTGTTGAAAAGCTGTGCTGGTGGCTGAATAACTTTGTAACCTTGTCTCTTGAATCAGTGTTGACTTTGTCTTCTGATGTGGTATACAGTGAGCTATACTTCTGCAAGATAATTTTTGGGGGAATGATGTATAAAATGGTGGTCTTGGTCATTGTTTCTTAAAACCTAAAGATCCTTGCAACTTTACACAAAGACTAGCTGTAGTTATACACTGGTTATTGTGGTGTTCTGGACAGACCCCAAGATGCATGCTTGCTGGTTTTCTCTTTTATCTCTTTCCAAAATTTATTGTTGGCTGTAGAGTATCCTCCTCATGCTGAAATACTATTACTATGTTCTGCTAATGTAATGTCATAAAAGATATGTATTCTTATACATTATTTCCTTATATCATTATGATTAATTTTTAAATGTTTATACAGTTTTTGATATTTTTTCAAGATGTCTTCAATTGTAAACCCTACAGACAGATATAATCATAGGAAAATTGATTTTTTTAAATTGTATTTTTTTTTCCAAAATCTTTAAATTTTTTTTGTTTATATTACACAAATTAATGAGATGGTATTAATTAATCAAAGGAAGCTTTAACTTCATTGTTTGCCAGTAACAGGAATCTCATAAATGAAAGCATTCAATGTGTACGGCTCTCTTGCATTAATGGCAGCTTGGTTGATGCAGGAAAGGGCCTGAGTTAATAAAGGTATAAAAAAGGCTGATCCCATCCTCCAGGTTTCCTAGTCAGCTACAAATTCCATCCATTGAGCCAAATGGAAAAAGATTCTTTGTTTGTAAAGAAAACAAAACCTCATCTCTGCCTTCTTTTAGGCATTGTGGGTAACTTAACAGAACTTTTCTACTCCATGATCCAAGTTAGGGCTATGAAATTTAAAGATTTCACTAATATAGAAAATGTTCTATAGAAATCTATTATATTATACAGTTACTTTGTAGAACTATAAAATAAATAATTTTGTAGTCATTTTGGAACATGTCTTCCTGAGGAAGTTTTGACAGATGCCTCCCAAGATGTGCAAATTTAGATTTTCATCTGGAAATACTCTTAATAGATGCAAGGCCACTGTGTAGGAGGCTGACACTGGTTTGTGATGTCCCCAGTATCTCCTTTCTGATACAGTAATCCTCCAGAGCTTTTTGTCCAAACTAATATCTTTGTTGTCTGGAAATTATTTGTAACCATTGGTCAAAATGTAGTCTGAAAAGAGCCTTAGAGTTTAAATGCTTTGCCAAGTGTGCATAGTAAAACAACATTGTTTTCCTAAAAAGGGATAAATGATGCTTACTGTGCAATTTCAAAATATTAAAATTAGTCAAAGCATTATACTGTAACCTGAACCACTCTCAGCTTTAGCGTGTGATGCATGCACAGATGGAATTGCTGACAGAATGCAACTTGACATTATCAAAATATTGTTATGCAAAAGCAGAATTTTGCTTTTTGGTTTATACGCTGAATGAAGAAAGCAGAGTTTTGTGAATGCACCCTGTCACACAAAAGGAGGCAATTATACTTGGAAAAAACATTATTATGACTACTAAAAAAGCATTGTGTATACTTTTACATGTGTTTTTTTCTTGAAAATAGCGAGTGTATTGCAATGTGTTCAAATTATTTCTGTATGTCCATTCCAATGTTTTGACCATCAGAGGGTGAACTAATTCCCTAATACTTCAGAATAGTACTATGAAATGCTGCTTAGCTGCTTGAATTGATTCTGTCAGTTTGGGGAAAAAAAAAGACAAAGCAAGCAGAATAAAATGCAACCTGTGTGGTTTTGAAGCAGCTTGGAGTAATTAATATGCAAGAACTATCTAGAGATAAAACCCCAAACCCCATACTCCCTCTTGTGGTTAACCTCAAAGAATATGGGAAAAATATATATACACATGCATATACCTATACACATATATATATATATATAAAGTATTATCTGTACTTACAGGGGAAAAAAAAAATCTTGTTTTTTTTTTTAAAAAAACCCGAACTTGTAACTTTTAAAAAAGTTCTAATTTTCTTGTTGTAAATTGTCTCAGAATATCTAATTAATCCTGAAAAGGACATCTCGTTCATCCTTAGAATTAACGTACTTCAGTTTTAACAGAGTCTTTACTCTGGGGATTTTCCAAATTTCCAAATCTAGTGATGCAACTACTTGGCTTCCATGTTGGATACTATAGAATATCCCAAATGAGGAGACACTAATGGCTACTCAGTAAAGCCAATAAAATTTACCTCTCAGTAACCTCATTGAAAGAAAAAAATCTCATGCAAAAGGGCTATCTAGAGCAGTGAAAAGGAGTTTCGGCAACATTTGGTAGCTCTCCTGGAGCTTTTGCCATATCCTTGCTACTTCCATGTCACTTCCTTTTTTTTTGAACTTTAAGGCTTAAAGAAGTACAACTAAGAATTTCTAACCTCACTGGAAATTAAAAAAAAAAAAATCATTCTGTTTGCTTGCTTCTAATTAAAGAAAGGGGTCATTTACATTTGTAGTTATTTCCCTTTTCATTCTTTTCAAATAGTAATAATCTTGACAAATGCAAAGTTATTACAAACTTGTTGGCTACAGATGTGTTGTTTCTAAGATGTTCCATGCTTATTTGTTCATCAAGATTATCGTATGCTTTATTTATCATTTGTACTTAAATATCTGTGGTGATGGCAAACAAACCCTTACTTGTTGTTTGTGCCAATTCATCTAATCGTTTACTCTTGAAATTTTACTATATCTCATTAAAAAAAATTCCCAAAGCTTTCTCTGGTATAGATTTTAAATATTCCTATTCTATGTGGAGGTTTGTAATAAAGGAATAAAAAAGCAGGTGACAGTAAAACAAATAATAATTCAGCGCTTCCTTTAATGCGCATGGTTTACTCTTCACAGTTTTGGTTCTTTTATTATGATAGGGTTTTGGATTTTAGATGTCACCTTTTAGGCACAATCAAAATGAAGGTATAGAACATTACAACAATTCTAATTTTCATTTTGTTGTTTGGTTGGCTTTTTTCCATGTAGAAAAGTGACAATAATGGAAGACTCTGATCAGAACATTCATCTGAAAAACTTGTCTCTTCAGCAAGCAACCAATGAAGAGGAAGCCTTAAACCTGCTCTTCTTGGGAGACACCAATAGAATGATCGCTGAGGTGGGAATTGCTGGTACAAATCTTTCTTAACACTATCAGAGTTAAAATTATCATAAACATAAGATGTATACTTTGGAAGTCCTTGGACATAAATGAGTAAATGTCTTCTTTCTGAGTGTATTTCCACAGTGAAATTAAATAAGCATTTCTCTGATTATAGCTTTGATTTTGCAAAGTGCTTTCTGTTTTTCCTTAGTGAATGTGATTGGTGGTTGTTGATGTCATAACTTACTGCAATTAAAATAAGTAGGAAAAAAAACTTTGCTCATAAACCATAGACTGACTATTAAATGTGGCATGTATCAACATACATGCACATCTAAAGATTAGAAAACATGGCCTTACAATGCATTATCAGATACTCCCACAGAAGTTCTGAATTACCTTTGAAGTAGTTACAGTAAGATTTAGCAGTCCTCTCTTCTTTTTTTTTCTTCTTTTTGCCTAAACGTGGTGTTACGTGTTAAGAAAAAATGTCAAAAGGTAGTGCAGAGCACATTAAAAATAAAATACTTGCCAATATGCAAAGACAAGAGTATTTTTACTGCTTCTGAAAAATTCAAATCAAGTGTTTCCATATCCAGTTAATAGAATCTGTAGGGTTGGGTTTTTCTTTCTTATCTTCATGCTTGGAAATGGAATGTAAATATAAAACGTGTGTTGTATAATGTAAGCACTGTTGATGTGTCTTTACCACAACACAGCTAATTCTGTTTTAGAAATTTGTGGAGTTTCATCCTCTGTCTGACCAAAAAGATATATAATAAATCGATGAGGAGAGAGATAGTTAAAGTATATGAAATATTCAAGTAGCTCTGTTCCTGCTGGCTGACCACATACACTTGGGCACAGAAGAAGCAGTGTTTGAATACAAAATACAAATAGGCAAAAATCTGATTTCTTCTCTCTTTCTCAAGAGAGACTATTTCAGCAGTGACATTTTGAGAGGTAGAAAGACATTAAGGAAAGAGATAATCAAGCTTTACTTAAGGTATATTAGTAAACAGGAATATTGAGGCAAGGAACCATTGATGATATGCTATTCCATTCCAAATGGAAAAATTATACAATTTAGGGCAAAACAACTTGAAAAAGCGTAATAGAGAAAAAGATAGCATTGCGTTCAGAAGCCTGAAAAGCTGTCATGACAGTTCGTAATGAAAAACAGAAAAAGAAAGTTCATTGCATGGAGAAAGATCTTCAGGAACTCTCTGATCAGTTTAGAGGAGCTGTTTATGAAAATGAGGCAGAATTTGAAGAATGGTGTCATAAATCAGCAATTGTAAAGGACAATTGTGTTACATATTTGGAAAATGTTAAGAGAAAATATATCCCAAACACTGACAGTCATGAACAAATAGCACGGCTAATGAAGATGGTAAGTCATTAGAGGTCAAAATGAAGTAATGCTCAATAAAACTAAAAGAATATTCTTAATGGGTCAGACCAAAGATTTGTCTGCTCCAGTTTCCTGTTTTAACAATGGCCAATAGCAAATATATAGAGAAAAGTTAAAGATAAACCAAGTAAATAATGATACATTTAAAAAAAAAATCCTCTAATCTTAATTAGTTTGTGTTTCAGACTATTTAAAGCTAATAACTTTTGTTGTGGTTTTATTTTACATGAATTTGCCCAGATGCTTTTTTTAACCTCAGTAAATTTTTATCATGAAATCTGGTGTTAGACGAAGTTCCATGACTTAACTGTGGTGTATGAAGAAAAATCTCCTTTATCTTATTTTTAATCTACAAGTTGGTAATTTTATTTGGATCATGCTAGTACTTGCCAGAAAACATAAGAATAAACATGAGAATGTGTAGGACCTGAGTAGCAGAGAATTTACTAATCTGAGTGGCTTGGGTTAGCAAATGGTTTTTTTTTTGTTTTATAAGTACTATAAAATTATTGTTTCATTGGTCTTCAATGAAGAGTACTTAAAAGAAAAAAATGCAGAGAATACTTGCTTGGAATAACTGCCACACATTGCAGCAATATTTACCTTACTTAGTTGGAATGTTAGTAAGATTCCAAAAAACTTCATTGTAGAAGTTTTATTTATGTAGTTATCTCACACATTGTTCCTTTGCAATTGCAGCAGGTACATTGCAGTACAGTTCATTGAGCAAACTGAGTGCTGCTTCCTCTCAACCATTAGAGAATTTGTCAGCCATTATCAATTGGCATTTTTGGCTTTAGGTCACTGTGGTACTTCATATGATGACTTAACAGAATGAGAAAATGGTGTTTGTTCAGAGATGAGGGATCATTTGCAGAGGTCTAGGGAAGAGGATTTATGGCATCAACCTTAACTTCTCCAGAGATCCATATTTTTAAACCTTGATTGAATTATGATAACACTTCCTGACTCAAAAAAAAAAAAAAAAAAAAAAAAACGGAGTGGAAATTGTCAGAAGGGCAGAGAAGGTTGCTAGGTTTTTAATCCTCCTGAATAAAAAAAAAAAAAAAAAAAAAAAGATTAAGACGCTATTTAAGTAAACTTTAAAAGACACAAGATTAATAAACCTAACTAGAAAAGAAAGTAAAAGAAAAACTATGCTTGATTAATTTTTTTTAATGATGAGGAGTTTAGGTGTGGAAAAGCTAAGATGACTGTCGTGGATCACACAGAAAATTTGGGACAGAACTGCAGCATCTAAAATTGCAATTTAATCCTTTACTCCCAAGATAACCTGTTTTTGAAGAGTTGCAGGACCATTTAATGATTCTGAATGACAATTTAATTTCTGCAGTGCCTCTGCCTCTCTAACTTGTGACTTGAGGGCTGTGTTTTGCTCTCAACACTGACTGTGCTAAAAAGAGAGTTATCATAATATTAAGTAGTCTATAAGCCACATTCGGTCATTCGTCAGAACCAAAGGGAATAACTGAATACTTCTTTCCCACACATGACTATATAGGTCCTTTCAGAAGGAAAAAAAGGGGAAGCTAATCTAATTTGTGCAGGATTGGTTTTTAGGTCAATATAGGACCAATCCTTTCCTGTAGTTTTGACATGTAGTACAAGTTGTGGAAATGGTAAGATGGGAGACATCTGTGCACAAACACTTCACATGTAAAAATCCAAATAGGAGGTTTTTGTCTCTTACATTTTGGCAGGGAGAAATGGGCAGAGAACAAACCCCCAAAACTGTTTCTTTTGTTGGAAGCTCTTCCAACTGGAAGGACTATTTGTTTTCCCATAAAACACAGGTTCTTGTGACATTTGAAGGCATAAGTATCTCAGCAACAGGTTATTAACCAAAAAAAGGAAATCTGAATTTATTTTTTTTGTATTTTGACTTTTTAAGGCAACTTTGATTTTGATATTTCAAATAAATGTAAACAAAGGATTCCAAAATCTAATTTGCACATACAGCACAGGTGGTAGCAGCTGCATCTAAAAGAGCTCATGTACAGAAATAAGTGTTTGGCCTTTTAGGTGGTGTTCACAAACCATTTTATTTTGGTAGATATGCTATTAATATGTCTTCAGCTGAAGTGGTCTTTTCTAAGTTCTTATGATAGGAATCTCATGTGATCGTGTCCTTTGAAATACTGTGCCTAAACCTCTGTGACGTAGAGAATTAGTACTTTTTTTAGTATTTGCCTTAAAATACCAGAGTAAGGTAGACCCAGTAGTCTCCCAAGGGCATGCATCAATTTAAAAACTGTAAAATCTTTATGTGAAATTGATATGTCTGAACACTGCAGTTGCATGTATATTCAACATTTGTTTTTTGTCTAATGAAAAATTACTTCATTTTAATGAGGAAGGAAATGTTTTAGTGCATAGTTTTTTATCTGTAATACTCCATTGTTAAAATTTGGAAGACAGTGCTTACTACATATATGTATGATTATTCCATCATTTATAATGTTTGAAGTACACATGGGGCGAGCAGTAAGCTTTTGGCAATGTTTAAATATGTTGATTTCAAGAAAGAATGAAACTTTTAAACGTTTAAAGCTAGTTGTGGGGACTGACTTGTGACCTCTGAATTGGACTAATTCCCTTTGTATTTATTTTTATTGTCCGTTCGTATTCTCTTGAATATATTTAGAAAGCCACTTAGATGAAATATGAAAAATAAGACTTGAATGTGTGAACATATGAGATTAAGTGACACTTTTGCCAAGAAGGCATATTATCCATGTTAGAACTGCATTCCAGAATGGATTGCAGCTTTCTGCTTTCCTAGGTTCCTTATTGGTGGCAATTGTTAATTTATTTCCACTCTGACAAACTTGTTCTGTAGTATCATTAGTACCAAATGGCATCATCATTTCAGCACAGACGCTTTCATTTCTGTGTGTGGTAAAACGGTCACCGATCATACATACTGCTTTGAATAGTCCTTAAAGTGCTTTGGGATTTATAGGGATAAAAGACACTGTGTAACTTAAAGTTTAATAATATCCTCCCCAGGGATTATTAATTACTTCAGAAGTTGCCTATTACCATGGTCTAACTGTGAAACTGTACTTGCAGTAAATATGGAAAGGTAAAATATTGCTTTTAAAAATCAAGGAAGTGTCAAATTGCATTTATAGAATCATAGAATCATGGAATTTTCTAGGTTAGAAGGGACCTTTAAGATCATCTTATTCTGATCCTTAAGATCATCTTATTCTGATCCTTATATTTTCATAGCAATAAATTTTCAATTTCAACTGTGTCAAGTGTACCTAAGTACACCTGAAGAGCCCCTTCACTTGTACCATATTAATCAGAAAGGAAACTAAAGATATATTAATATCTCACTCATATACCAGATGCAAAGACAGGAACCTCCTATTCTTAAACTTACACACCTTTCCATATAGCATGGTCCTGTTGGAACTGGTGGAGTTTATATTAACTAGACAAATACAGCCACTGTTTTTCAATGAAGAATCTCTGCTCCTTCAGCCTTGTAGAGAGTTATTATGTTCTGTGCTATAAACACTGTGAAAACACCAGAATATTCTAAGGGTTAATTTCAACCAGTGAAACAGTGTTAAACTGTTATCATTGTTGTTACCATTCTTGGATGCAGCAGCTCTTTTTACATACTCCGAGTTTGGAAAGGAATAAAGCTGCCAGAACTTCTTCCTAGAAGTATCTGTCTGACTGTAGCTTGAGAACAGAGAAAATCAGTCTGATATCCACGTTGGATGCTACCATGCTTTTCTCTTTTCCCTTTTACCTTGCACTTCTTCAAAATGTTCAAAAATGAAAAAGCCTTGAGGAAAAAGAAATTCTCCTTAAAACAAAATTTTGTACTTTTTCACTGAGACATTCTCTCAAAAAAATGGGAGCATTCAGAATCAACCTTTCTTCATTTATGCTTTGGGTAGTCACTAATTCATTCGTACAGGAAAATCATGTTCTTGTGATGTCTAAATATTTTGATTCAAAGAAGAAAATATTCCACTGGAGCTGTATAAACTGCCAAGTGGAGATGGTTTGCAATATGGGCTGAACAACTGCATTTATCACCTGTGAAATCTTTTTATACTAGTTTTCTTGAACTCTTTTCTGTATTTTCTCTGTCTGCGCATATTTGGCAGCCATAATCAACACATTCTTCTTCCAGATAGTAGCAGCTTCTGTTGGTTTAAACAGCCTTTCACTTGTTTTTCTCCTATTTAAGAAACTTTCTCCATCTTAGGTCCTTAATTATTAAGAGCTCTATTTAGGCCAGTAGCATCCTGTTTCTGGCTATTCTTCTTAGTGAAAACAACATTTATAATAACAGCTGCAACAAATAAAGGATTTGGGAAATACATAAATTTTTGTACAGGCAAGTATTCCTGCAGTGTTTTGTTGATTTAGGGTAGATAACAATTAGATTAAGATGGATAACTTAGGTTCCAGAAAGATTTTTGGACCCTTCATGAGCCTGCATGCCTTGACAGAAACACCCAAATCAGATGCTTCTTGCAATATGGCCATGCTGCAGGTTCTTGTTTAAGTAGAAACCACCTTACAGCTGTTGTATCAATAGATGTAATTGTTTAAGTCATAGAACCATAGAGTAATATGGGGTTGGAAGGGACCTCTGGAGATCATCTAGTCCAAGCTCCCGCCGGAACAGGTGTACCTAGAGCACGTTGCACAGGAACTTGTCCAGGTGGGGTTTGAATGTCTCCAGAGAAGGAGATTCCACCACCTCTCTGGGCAGCCTGTTCCAGTGCTCTACCACTCTCACAGTAAAGAAGTTCCTCATGTTTAGGTGGAACTCCTTATACTCAGGTTTGTGCCCATTTCCTCTTGTCCTGTCACTGGGCACCACTGACAGTCATGAAGTCATGAAGCTTCTATACAGTTTATTTACTTTCAGCAAGCAGAGGTATATCCTGGTCCTGTAAATAAAGGAAACTGGCTTGTATGGCTTGATATATCTCCTGTTATATATTTTTCCAACATCAAACAAAAACCTAATGCTTTACCAAAACATAATCTGAAAAGATACGTTATTGAATTCCTCTTTTACCATGCCACAAATGGGCATCAACAGATAACCTGGCATTAATTCCTTTGTAGTGCTCGTGTGATATCACAAAGCATCTAGAGTCTGTGCATGTGGTTTATGATGTCACAGAATTCCTGGAAAAAATTATTTCTTTGTAAGTAACTGCAGCTCATCAATTGTTCTATATATAACCTTCACAATAGCAACCATCTGCTGAGAGCCAGGCCACTCCCCTCGTTCTTTTTTCCTTCATCACATCAAATTAGCGTGAGGATGATTTCATAAACATATGGTTTGAATACTACTACCAAAGCCAAAATGAACTCTGAAAGCTACTAAAGGAACCTTTTAGTAGGCTCTGACACACTGCCCAGAAAAATTTGTTTGTTTGTTTTCAGTTTTCAAACTTTCTGAACAGCTGAATGGTGATATTTAGAAGTTGCATATGTAAAATATAAAATAAAACAAGACAAAGCAACAAAAAACCTAACCAAAAAACCCACCCCCACAAAAAAAGACTTATTTTTGGACTGAAGATGCTGACAAGTTGTCACTTCTTTTGCTATGTGCTTTGTGTCTACTTGTGTGGTATAAGTAGCAAAGTGTGGGGGATTATGACTGCAATTAATATTTCATGATCACATCTCATTTAACAGTTTAAATTTTTATTGCTTTCTGCTTCCTGCAATAGTTTTAATAGAGCTTTCTATCTATGAGCACAGAAAGTGGAGATCAAATCCCATTGTGAAAAGGAGTGTTGGTGTACTGATTAAAGCATGGCTCTACTCTGAAAAGGGACTTCATAAAAATAGCAGTTTAGGATTCTAGCCAATGACTTTCAAATCAGCTTTGCTCATTTTACATGAAAAAACAGAAGTTGTGGAGAGAAAAGCAGTGGAATTTCCAATGCCCAGACTAGCAGAATCTGCTTGGAACATGGGAAACTGAGTTGTGGGTAGTGTATTGCTATAGACAACAAAGATCTAATAGGCCAAGTGCTGTCCTGAGCTTTTGGAACTCAGAATCCTGAAATGATGTTCTTTTACGCATTTTTTTTTTTTTTTGCCTCTGTTGCGGTTAAACATGTGTGACTAAAGGCACATTTTGAAATGCATCAGGTTTTGCTGTGTAGTGAAACTTAAGTTTGCTTAAGAGTGCTTATTCTGAAGTGTGCTGATTTTCTGCTTCTTGCATAGCAACCTTTACTTTGTGCTTTCCCAGCCAGACCTGTATTGAGTTTTGATCTAGCTTAACCTTGTCTGCAGAATACTGTGACCGATGCCACGACTGTAGTGTAAAATGTCCTCAGGTGTCAATTCTGCTGAGGAGAGTGTCCTTAAATATTAATTCTGTTGTGGATTTTGAGCTGGAAAAATAAAATATCCTGTCGTGCTTCACAGAGACCAAGTAGTAAAATCATAGCTCTCCTAATAAAATAAGTGAAGCTGGCTCTGATTATCCATGGAATCAGAATTACTGAATAAAATACATTTTAACAGCATATAACTTTTTCTTAGTATAACTGCATTTTAAATATGTTTGGGAGTATTTTCTTGCTTTTCAAAGCTTGACAGGCCTATATCTTTCCCTGAGCCTGTTCACTTCCATTCCAGTGCTACAATTCCCTGCCCCTTCGTTTGTTCTGCGTTGCCTCTGAAGACAGTGTGTCATGAGACTGCGCCCTGATGCTCTGCTGCTCATTTCCCAGGATTGAGAAATGATCCTTAGAGACCTGGCAGTTAAGCAGAGCCAGTGGCTTGCCTACATTATTCCAAAACTTCTCATCTGTATAAACTAATGATCAAAACTCTTCTCCCTCCCCTTCTGAGCTTGGCTTTATTAGGTAGAGCAGCCCCAAATAAAATAGTGCTAAGGCTGTAATTTCATTACAGATTTTTCACCAACAGCGACAGGCATACGTTATTCCTGCACACCACCTACTTGTTCACACGCTGCATGCTGCCATTTTCAATTATTCTGGCGGAACTGCTTTCTACAGCTGCACTGTGACTGAGTCAGGAAAGTGATCCAGGTTAAATATCTATGGTTTGCAGACTTTTCCTTTATTTTTTTTATTCCTTTGAGCTGGGTCAGTTCCAAAATACAGTTCAGTTGTGCTGGCATTATTAAGGCTGGAAAAAAATACTGGGAAATTGAAGGGAACACAATTCAATCAAGAGGTATAACTGTTCGTATTATTCCTGGTAAAGGAGTATTCAGCATGCAGTCTTTCTGTTGAGAGCCATCCTTCCTGGATTAACAAAACCTTCAATGCCCGCAACACGCAGGCTATTTTAACATCTAGAATGTTTCATACCCAAACAGAATTTGGGGGAAATAAAAAAAGGCAATATGTTGGTATATCTAGTCCATAGGATATGCATAGATAAATAATGACTCTAGAATAATAGAGGAATAAAGAATAGGCAAGAGATTAATGTATATAACTTCACAGGATTTTTCTTATTCTTCTTTTTAAACAGCTATAAATAAGATTTAGTTGCCAACTCAATATTTATTTATTAATTTCACTATCTTATTTTTCTGCAAGTCAAGTATTTGTGCCCTAATAACATACTTGTAATAGTTTATAAATAAAAATACTATTTGTATGATGAACCTTTAATCTCCATATATATTCTAAAGCTTACTAACATGAGGATAACAAGGAATTGTTTTAGTTTTAAGTTTCTAACAACCCCTTGATATAACTAAACAAAATAGGCTTTAGATGCTTAAAGATTTTTTTTATATGTTTTATATGAAAAGAAAACTGCATGTGTGATGGCATATGGTCATTTGAAATCTAAAATTAAATATCAGAAAGATATTTAACACTTTCTGTTCTGCAACACCAGTAAAGTTATACTAAAGCTGAGCACCTCTAAAAATTGACCAAGAATTTCCATCCTTCCAGCTAAGGAAGTATGGCAGTAGCTATTTCTAATAAATATATTTAAAGCCAAATCTTTAATGATAAGTCTGTCATGACATATAAAATTTTGTTGCTGATTTATGACGTTAATTTTTTTCATTAAAGTAATAAAACTGTGAAAGTCTAAAGCCTTATAGGAAGCTCTAGTCTTAGTTACACTGGTAGCTATCTGGCAAATAATAAAAAAAAAATATTAAAAATGGGCTTACCATTGGGGAAACTGATAAACTCTTGAAGATCAGGAATTAGTAAGTTTCCTCCTGATCAAGGTGCCCTTTTCTGGCAGCATTCTTCAGCACAGTAAGGCCAGCTGCTTTGCTGATATACTCACTGTAGGAGTATCTTAGAACAAGGATAATTGCTTACTTGCTTGCAGTACCTGTCCAGATTTCCAAGTTATCCAAGTATTTGGCCAGAATGTGAGTGCCAAGTAAAATCCTTTGGGTTCTTCTTGTGTATTTGTTACAGGTGTAATAGCTGAAAGATTGGATAGGTGATTTTGATTTCCAGATTTTTGAGCTACAAAAAGCTAAATTTATTTATTAAATGAACATTGAGGATTCTTTCTTTCTTGTCATTGTAGACACCAATGAATCAAGCTTCAACCCGATCTCACTGCATTTTCACTATTCACATCTCCAGCAAGGAACCTGGATCTGCAACTATCCGACGCTCCAAGTTACACTTAGTAGACCTTGCTGGATCAGAGCGTGTTGCAAAGACTGGAGTTGGAGGTCACTTATTGACAGAAGCCAAATATATCAACCTATCGCTACATTATTTGGAACAGGTAAAATTGGAATAGCGTGAAACATTTCTCCCTTTACTACATTCCTGTTTAGCAATGTGCAGTGTTTTGGAAATCTTGCTTCCAATAGTCAGTATTTGGACTGTGTGTTTATTGTGTTTTTTTAAAATGTTTGAGTTGGTAGCTCTTGATTTGAAATACAATATTTTAACTTAGGAAAAGCTTAACAATTAAACAGTAAAGTTATAGTAGCTATATAGTGTTTCAAAAATAATTTTTTTGTCTCATTTGGATCACTAAAGATATTTACAGGATTAGAGCTGCATTTCTGCTGTATTTCTTTGTGATTAGCACCCCCTTCCACAGCTGGGGTCAGGCGATATCACTCAAGAATTGTTGACATGAAGTGATTGATTTTCAATTGGTTCAAGCATTATAATATCATACACTATTAGGTTTTTCTCTCATTTGTTGTTATATTCCTCTAACAATGTGAATCTTTGATCTCTTTGAGACAGGTGTTACCTGTTATTGTTATTGTTGCGTTATTGTTGCTGTTGTTGTTATTATTATTATTATTACTTTTTAAATTATTTTTCCTCCACTGATCTGATACAATTTTCTCTTCAAGACTAGAAAAACAAGGTGTTGCATCTTAGGATCTTCATAATTTCTGTGAATGTGTTAAGTGTGATGGTGAAGGTTGTTCAAACTCACTAATACCTACTTTTCTAATATCTCTTCTTTCCACCAGGTTTATAGGCATTGTCTGTATTCCACAGCATTCCTTACTTTCACATGTTTCTCTTCAGCTTAGTATTTGTGGCATTACTAAAAGACATTTATGCTTATTTATAAATGCTTGCTACACTTTGTCTCCCTGATCTGTTGTGGTGCTTTGTATTCTAATGCTGTATAACTCCAAGCAAGGGTAAGAAACACTTGGTAATCAATGACATCTGGTTTCTGGATGCTGTGCTATTAAGTTGCAATCAGTAAAGATTTCGAGACTTCACACCTGTAAGAGAAATTAAGTTCTTCTAAGTTTGAATACATAATACTGTTTTCACAGTACAATAAACACTGTTCCTGTTGCTTTTATATCAGAAAATGGCAGGTCTGTGAGGCTGTCGTTTAGTGAGAGAAATGAGGGTGGGAGGGAGAAGAAAAACGCTTAACTCTGAAATTCAGGTTTGACCCTTTTAATTTATACTCCAGTATATGTGTTATTTAGTAAAAGTTACAGTTGGGGAAATCCATTAAAACAGAAAATTTTTGAAAATTCTTTATATTTAAGATTTGGAAATATAACTGATTGTCCTGCTTACTGTTAATAGAAATAGTATTTTTCTTTTTTGTGTGTATGTTTTTCTGTTAACAAGAACAGATATCTTAGATTGCATTTAATCTACAGTGAGAGATATTTCATCTGTCAAAAGAAGCTTAAGGCACAGCAGGTGGCAGTCAGTCATTTACTATTACACTGAATTTTTTTTCATACCCCCCAATTTGTTTAAATTTTACCTTGAAGTAAAGTCTGTATTTCAGTTGTACTCACGGGAGGTGATACAGGTAAGTGATTCTAAACTGGACTCCTTCGGAATCCTAGAAATTGTGCTCAGGATCCTTCTATATGATTTTTATGTATTTGTAAAGCAACATTGCTTGAGCGTATGTGAGGTTGAATTTAATAATCTTTGTAGTGAGTCTTGAGAGATTCAGGTTTGAAGTGCTGTAGAAGCATAAAATACTAATATTTTGTCATGCAACTTTTAACTCCAATTTTAGAATTAATACAGTTGTCGATAAGCATGTTGGGTTCTGTCTGTAATAAATTGATGTTACAAATGAATAGCAATACATCCATGTGATTTGACACTATAGTAGAATTAGAACTACATATATTGCCCCAAAATAATAGACTATAACGTTCCTGCTGCTTTGATGAATAAGCCTGTTAACTGTCGTTTAACACGTGCTCCATCTAGGGAATGCCGAAAAATTTTATTGGTTAGTGGATGATTTTACCAAAGGGACTTAAAGCCATCACCTGTGTTATGTGACTCTGCCACATGACAGTACAGTGGCTTCTGCATCATGAGAGCTGGTCACACAGCTTTTCAGTGCCAAGGTGGGATGGTTCAAATTCTACCCAGGCTACAGACTTCCTGCATGGACTTCATTAAAAATTAACTTCCCTGTAACACAGTTCCCATTTTTAATGGAAATAACATATCTTCCCTCTGGCTTTTTTCTCATATTTTCTATTCAGATTGTAGTCTCTGTGTGTCAGAGACTGAGAATATGCTTATTAATATATACTCTACACTACTGTGAGGTTTCCATGCAATATTTTAAACCAACAGAGGTATCCCCATCCCTGGAGCTATTTAAAAGACGTGTAGACATGGTGTTGAGGGACATGGTTTAGTGGTGGTTTTGGCAGTGTAAGGTTAATGGTTGGACTTGATGATCTTAAAGGTCTCTTCCAAATTAGACGGTTCTATGATTCTATAACATATTTCCATCTAACAAGTTGTAATATATGAGATTTTAAAACCTTGATCCAGGAATGGGTTTCCAGATTCCTTTACAAGACAGTAATTTTTGTATTATGTATTTGTGCCTCTCAAGGCTGCCAGTGTAAGATTTATAGTAATGAGAAATTTTAACTTTCTGAAGAACATTAAGAGAAAGTAATGCCAACTAAAATGTTGCTACTAAATTTTCTAAAATGACAATTTTCTGAAGTGCAGCATAAACATAATATATGGTGGTGTGTAACTTAAAGGAAAAATCAGTCCTAATCATATGGGATAGCTTGCACAACTCATATAGCTAAAGTTTGTCAGTACAGTGGTTGGCCAGATATCAGTTCAAATCTTTTATATCACAATAGATCATGGGGTACTCTAGCTTTTTATTTAATAATAATTAGTTCCCATAGTGTAAACAGCTGAGAAAGGATACTGAGAATAGTAGGTGTACCATTTCCTTTTTGGCCAAGGCATATATATTCTAAACTGAATTATTTCTTTCCAGCAGTACATTGTAATCATGCACCCTTTTATTTGTGTATGTACTTTTCAAGACGTTTTCTTGGAAAGAAATGCATTGGCACCTCTAAGAACCATGTGCTTTAAGAATGTGTAATTTTTAAAACATGCTTCAGCAAATGTTAAGGAAGCTTTTACTTGAATACTATCCATACTTTAATTTATTATGATGCTAGAAAAAACATGAAAATTTTCAGTGAGTTAATGTGCCTTAGGAAAGTCTGGGGTTTTTAGTTTGTCGTCTTCTGTTTCCATGTTGCTGACAGGTTGTAAAGCTATCGTATGATAAAATTAAATTTATTTAGTCTTTCGGGTCCAGCTCCTACAAAGACATATAAACACACTGAAATTTACGTTGAAATTGATTCAATAAAATCAGTGGGTTTGCAGCTAACTGTGTGCAGAAGTATAGTTTAGTTGTAGCAGAAGTTTAGGTTCCTGAGCAGATTGGTTTCATTCTCTTTCTATGTCAATCATTGATACACATGTAAATTTGAAAGCCTTTTCTATTTTTACTGTTGTTTCAGGTGATAATTGCCCTTGCAGAGAAAAACCGGTCCCACATTCCTTACCGAAACTCTATGATGACCTCAGTGCTAAGAGACAGCCTGGGAGGAAACTGCATGACTACCATGATAGCAACGCTCTCTATAGACAAAAGAAACATAGATGTATGTTATTTCCATCTATTTTCAACAAAAATGTTTTCATTTCTTAAAAGATTCTGCTCTTTTGACTTTTATTACAGTTTGCAGTTCAAGTGTGTATGGTTTCATTGTCATTGCTACAAAAAAAAATTTAACTTTCTTTCCAGGAGAACAAAGACAATCAATGGAAATTGCAGTGAGATGTAGACTAATTCTTTAGGAAATGTGTTTTTCTCTTAGTAATTTCAAGTCAAGGAGCAGTTGGGAAATGACTTGTACCTAATAATGAGCTAACATTTTATTAAAACATTTACTGTTTTCCTGATGAATAAATCTTTTGAGTTATGAAAAGGCATTTCTAAGGAATCTTCCAAAGGACATACTAGTAAGATCTATAAGTAGATTATGGATTACACTGAAACCCTTGGAAGAACTTCTGTAGATGTCTGTGAAGTTGGGATTTCACTAAGTATGGTAGACAACTGGAGAGTTCATTATGGGGGACAAGGAATTGGGTGGGGTAATTTGGGATTTTTGGAAACGTTTCAAATACTTTTGTCTTCATTCACCAATTTTCTGCACTGGAATTCTAGGTATTGATGTTTTCTTCTCTTTGTTCACCAAAATATGTTGCAATGTGAATACATAGAACCCCACTTAAAGACATTTATAATCTATTTCCTGATTTTTCCATAACATCAAAAGGTTCTAATGTGAATAAGCAAGAAAAAAACTATTAAGCCTAAAATTGTTTTCTGAAATACAGTGGAAAGCATTATGCTAAAGCCATACTTCACATAGTTGAAGGCTTTTGTTGTTGTTGTTCGGACTTGTAATTATGCAAGCAGATAGCACCTGCATAAGTTTGTTAATGCATTTTTTTAGACTATGGCATAGTCATCCTTTCATATATCAATTCATCAGGTGTTATCTATCTCACATTGTGATCTAGATTTCGATTACAGGAATATTAGCCCAAGTAATTATCCAGAGTAGGCTACTGAAAGTTTTCATGCTCTTGCTTTAGTGTGTATTGTCTACCCAACAGATCTCCTTCTTCCATCCTCCCAAAAATAAACCAAAAAACCTCTACCCTGCTCCCAAAAATCTGATATGTGCAAGTAACATTAGGATAGATGTTAACTCATTTACTAAACATGAGAAAATGTCAAAATTAGGATAGCTGTACAATTTTAATTTGGACTTCTGTGAGTCATTATGCATAGTTATGTTTTGTTTGCTTTTTTGTTGGGGCTTTTCCATTGGATATACATTTCATTCACGAAGTATGCACAAGGCAGAATTACCCACCAGTATGAACTGAAGTTGTATCATAAAAGGAACTTTCTTAAGGACCTAGCTTTGTCTATTGCAATGAAGTAGAGAATTCAAAGTAGGAAAGGGAACTCTCATGAAGAGGACAAATACAATATTATCCTAGAGAACTAGATGATATTCCCACCTCTACCAAAGAGTTTGTATGCAACTTCTCACACCACCTGCATTACATTTTTAATGTTAGTTTTTCAGAGTGGTTGGAAGAAGATCATAGAATCATCTAGGTTAGAAGGGACCTTCAAGATCATCTAGTCCAACCATCAACCCAGCTCTGACAAAAAAACCAGCACTAAACCATGTCCCCCAGCACCATGTCAACCCGACTTTTGAACACCTCCAGGGTTGGTGCCTCAACCACTTCCCTGGTCAGCCCATTCCAATGCTTGATAATCCTTTCAGTGTAAAAATTTTTCCTAATATCCAACCTGAACCTCCCCTGACGCAACTTGAGGTTCTTTCCTCTAGTCCTGTCGCCTGTGACTTGGGAGACGAGACTGACCACCGCCTCCCTACACCCTCCTTTCAGGTAGTTGTAGAGAGCAATAAGGTCTCCCTCTCAGCCTCCTTTTCTCTAGACTGAACAACCCCAGCTCCCTCAGCCTCTCCTCATAAGACTTATGCTCCACATCCCTCACCAGCTTCGTTGCCCTTCTCTGGACCCACTCCAGCACCTCAATGTCTTATGTGTTGAGATGTTGAGTCTGAATTGTAGGTATGTTAATTATTATAGCTGTAACTGAACATGGATGGAAGCTGTTTTGAGCAGGTCATGGAATGATAATAATCAGAAAAAAATTTTTTTTGCTACTTTTGACTTCAGTTTCCCTTTTGTTAAGTGTGGCCGTTTCACCTACTTGAGGCAAAACAGTACTAATTGATTGATTTTTGTGAAGCTCTCAGGTACTGTAACTATAAGCCTGTGTCCTGGGTTGAAAGACACAGGACTAACTTTTCTCCTAATGCTGGGGAAAATTGCACTTCTAGAAGACTCTAGTGTCTGAATTTGTGAAAATATTTACTTTATAGCCAGCCAGTGGGATTCAAGGTTTTAGTGTTTTTGAGCCTTGCCAGGTGCAGGGACAAGGAGGAGCAAGGCCTGGGCATTTGACCCAGGCTGGTCAACAGGATTATTTCATACCATGAAAGTCACATTCAATATAAATTAGAAAAGTTTCCTGCGTAGCTCTCTCTCCCTTGATGGTGGCCGTCCAGACAACTCCTTGCCCCGGTGCCGGACCCCTGAGGCCTTCCCTTACTCCTGAAGGCATTGCGCTCGCAGTGTCCGCCATTTGCTCTCCACTGCTGAGAGTGCACAGCTTCCTACTGATATAATTGGCTGAGTATAATTCCTGTATCTTATATCAGTATCGGGATTAACACGGTTTCTTTAGTATTATTGTTAATTATTTAGTCTTAGTCTATTAAATCTATTTACATTTCAACCCTTGGGTTTCCTTGTGTTCCCCAATTCCCCTTTCTGGGTGGGGAGGGATCATCGGGTGATAGAATAGTTGTCTAAATGACAATAGATTGTTATGGGTTTTCTCAAACCATAACAGCATGGTAGAAATAAGTGATTAGGAAATTAGTAGCTGTCAGCTTTGATTACCATTCTGATTAGCTTACATATTGAACATTGAAGTCTGAATTGATTTAGCTGCTCATTAATTTAACACATGCTTCACACTGAACCGGGACAAGAGGTCTATTGGAAATGTAAATATGTGTACTGTATGTATAATTGTAGACAATAAAACTTAATTAAAATCACATTAGCTGATCATAGTAGCACAGGAGCTGTATAGCAGAGGCAAAAATAGGGTCCAACTAGGACTATGTGCAGCTGACTTAATTGTAAGGCCTCCTTTTTTGCTTCCTTTTAAAACTCTCCTTTGATTCTGCGTGTATATATTATGTCTTCTCCAATAAGCATGAGTGTCTTTCATCATGTAACCCTCATTCCGATAACACCCCTCCGAGGACGGAAAGAGACAGAAATCCTGTGTAAATAGAAGTATACGATCAATATGTTAAAATTGGTGTTTTCCTAGAAGGATTCAAAACTGCAGTTACTTCAATTCTGAAATATGGGTCTGTGAAACTAGTAAAGTTCTCTTAGGGATTATATGTAAATTCTTACATTTTAAACTCAGACTGGCACATCTCAGAAAATTTTATCATAGAGTTTATCACATATCATTGGAACTTCCGAGACTACTGCGTGGTATTCTATTTTTTGAGCCAACATGAGAACAATGGCTTGCTTTTTATTCACTAGGTAGATAAGTTCTCTAGTGGAGTCTGGCACGTTAGTATTGGCTGATCTCAGAAGAGGGAACAATACTTAGGGATCCCTGATTTCATTCTTTGTCCTGGATGAGACTACACACTGATTGTCACAGTTTCCTTCACAAACTCAGTCCTGTATCTTTTTTTCTTTTTTTTTTTTTAGCTTCCCTGGCTTTGTCCTCCCACACCCTATCTTATCTTATCTCTCTGACAGTCTTTTATCTGCTATCGTAGTTCTCCTATAATGCCTCCTTAGTTCCAAGCCTTCTGGTTTTGTTTCTCGTTTGTCCAGGACTTCGTGTCTTTTCCCAGCTTCTTTTACATATAATTCTCTAGTTCTAGGTTCACCAAAAGTTTTAGTTAATTTTTGCTTTCTCATGATTCAAAAGTTTTTACCTTCTGAAAATGCTTTAGAGCCAGCTGGGGACTCATTTGAAACACATTTGAATGGTGGATTGACTGGGTCAATAAAATACCTACTATGATTTGACAGTTCTATATGTCACTGTCACTAATATGCTAACCTAATTTCCCTTGTATAGTGTTGTTTTAGAATATGAAATGATAGATTAGTTCTGTAAAATATACAAAAAATGCAAACATAGTTTGAAGACTTCATTAGCAGTCTGTTCTACTTACCTGGTACAAGGCTAACTGAATTTTTTTCTCTTTTTCTCTTTTTTTTGTCCTTCCAGGAATCTATATCAACCTGCAGATTTGCACAACGAGTTGCTCTTATTAAGAATGAAGCAGTTCTTAATGAAGAAATTGACCCCAGATTGGTAAGAATAGTCTGGGGGCAGTTTGCTTGTTTTAAGTTTCAATAATCACTAGCAGTCAAATGCATTTTGAGGATTTTATACTGAATCATCCCATTAAATTGTTTTTAGATGAAAGTTCCTTTTTTTTCTATAAAACAACTACTTTTTTTTTTTTTACATAATTATAATTAAACGGACCCTTATAAAACCTCTAAAGGTTTTCTCAGCTCTTAAGGCATCTGAGGAGTAATGGTCCCTTTCATTGTGGTGTCTGTGTGGCTTCTCTTAAGGTGTTAGTTTCTAACACAGATAAATGGGTGTCCCTGGAACTCAAAAAAATCTGATTCCTGTCACTTGATGAAGGCATGCTACTGCACTGAAACAGTTCACTTATTAAAAGCTAAGAAACGTACAGATACAGTCCTTCCTTGAGATTGGCCCAATGAATATTTTAGCTAGGAAGAAAGAACTCTGTAAAATTACCATTAGGAAAAAAGGAGGACAAGTAAATGTGATGTGGAAATAGGATTTCCACAGTAAGGTATTAGGTTGATATTCACATTCCAAAGAGGAGCAGAGAAGCTCAGCAGAATGGATCAGGGATTTAGAAAGTACAGAGAAAGATAAAGGTAATAATCCACATAAAGAAAACAAGTGGAGTTTTTTTAATGTGCATAACAAAAAGGTACTTTATTTTTTCTTTTTAGTGTTTGATTATTCTTTCCTTTGAAAGATTTTATATGCTTCTAACTTGTTAATACCAGATCTGTTTGAAGATGTGGTGTGTAATCTTAAATTCTTCTATATTGAGGCTTTTCTTAGTTTATTTAATGTAACTTTCTGCATTACCTGGAAAATTTATTTCTTTTGTAAATATTAAGTACACGTATTAAGGATTGATTAATTCAACATAGTATCGCAGATATTGCTGGCTAGTGGATCAGCTGGGTTGCATGCTGTATATCAAAGACATTTTCTGATACGGGAAATGTTTGAGGTTACGCTGGTTATGCCAAAGCTGCATATGGGGATATAATGAAGAAAAAACTATGGCAGCGTTTCAGCGTACCCACTGTCTCTGTGACAGAGACATCAGATGGAAAATAAGTTCAGGTTAAGCTATTATATTATTCTGTTTTTATATAAACAGAAAATATTTAAAACACAGTTTTTAACTGCATAATTGTAAGTTTGAACTGTAGCTTTTCGCCTCCAAAGTATATAAAATCTCAATGAAAGATCTAATTTCAGTAGTCCTGTATGTTTTTACGATATACTAACTGCATCAACATCCTTTTTATGGCAAAAATTATTACTGTATTTCTAAATTTCTTGTGACTAATTTGTAATTACAAGTTTTATGTATTTTGCTCTCATATGGCCTTCTGATCTGGCTAGGAAATACTTTTCCCTTGAATGCTAGACCACAGAATGCTAGCTTATATAGCATAAGAAAAATTTGTTCTCTAAAAATCAAGGGATTAGATGGTTGAATATTTCACTTATTGTTACTTGACAGCAATTAACGCCTTTTAGTTACTGTTAATGATTGTGCTTTTATTTTCTCTTGTCCTGGAAGTTCAAAGGGAATAAGAGATTCTTGTCAGGGTTTCTGCTGGTGTTCTTTTTAAATTATTATTCTATTTATTTTTCTTTCCAAACAAAATTTCTAACGGTAACAGCATCACACATGTGAAAAAAAGAGCAGTCAAAAAATAAACAAATTAAAAAAAAAAAATAATTTCACTTATTGTTACTTGACAGCAATTAACATGTTTTAGTTACTGTTAATGATTGTGCTTTTATTTTCTCTTGTCCTGGAAGTTCAAAGGGAATAAGAGATTCTTGTCAGGGTTTCTGCTGGTGTTCTTTTTAAATTATTATTCTATTTATTTTTCTTTCCAAACAAAATTTCTAACGGTAACAGCATCACACATGTGAAAAAAAGAGCAGTCAAAAAATAAACAAATTAAAAAAAAAAAATAGGAACTGAACAACTGAACATGGCCACAGAAGCCTCTGATTGAGGTGGAACACATGCAGGCTCCTGAACATTTACTACATCCTGTGGAGCTATACTCCATGAGTTTGGTATGTGTCACTCTGCAGGATCGTTTAGCAAGTAAAGCAAAAGTGGACTCATGAGAGTTAGAAAACCATCCCCTCTTGTGGAAAAGGCAGGGGAACACAGGTACCTAGACTTTATATACCTCTGTGCTCATTGTGGAATTTGTTGCCCATTGTAGCTACCTAAAGTATATTCCAAGGGTGCAACCTGATTATTCAGTAAAGTGCTGGACTTAACAATTTTTTTTTCATATAATCAAATGCCATTTATTTTCAGTATTTATCATGTGTAAGTTGAACGCATGCTTTATAAATGGAGTGCATACCACCCCTTGGTAAATCTGAGTTAAGTCTGACTGTTGTGTAAACTTTATTCTCCATAATGGAGTCTTTCTGACCGTGTATCTTACTAAGAAGATGAATTTGTACCTATTGTACTTTCTTAGCAACTCAGATTCAAATTTCTCTTACTCATTACCAAAGGATTTGGTTTAAACTGAAAACCAAACTGTTGAGCCTAAATTAAACCTAAACTCCTCCTGCATTCATTTAAAAAAAGAAATGAAAATATTATGCTTCTATAGATTTTTCTTTTTCTTAATATTTGAAAATCAGTCTCTTATCCATATCCTGAAAATAGTATTTCTGTTGTTGTCAGATTGATACTATCAGTTCAGCTTTCAGCCTTTTTATACTCCAGCCCCAAATGTTATTGACTCAGTAATTGGCATAGACTACATCAGAGTGAGGCACCAGTGAGGCAGCCTAAAATCAGATTAAAATATTTGGCCTGCAATATTCTTAAGCAGTCTTGCAATATCTGTAATTAACAGTTCACCACCTTAATAGATTCTTAAATAAAATATTGTATCTTAACCTTTCATACTTTATAGTAACAAATGTGTTACCAGTAAGTTTAGAATTAATAGTATTGATAGAATACTAATAGAATAGAATTAATAATCATATGTACATTTAGAATAGCTTGATTTTTAAAGTAAAAATACACATTCAAAGTTTAGAAAGTCATGCTTAAATTTAAGCATTAAAAGAAATACAGGTGTTTGAAGAAAACATTCAGTGGAAATGTGTTATCAGTTTCAACAATCTTATTTTTATAGTGCATGCAATCAAGAATGATTCATTTTTCCTTGAAAACATTCTTCTCTTAGAAACTTATTTTGCACATGGAAACAGTGTACTTATATCCATCTAAAATATTATTGGATTCCTGATATATTTGAGACATTGTAAGGTGATGCATCATTAAAGTGATCAATCATAAAATATTCAAGAACTTGCTCATTCATGTTTTAGACTTGGGGATTTGCATATTGTCCCTGTTTTGTAGAATTTGGGCTTGGGAGGCTAATGATTTGTAAAATATGGTTTTATACAGACTTTTTTTTTCCAAAAGCATAGGCTCCAGTGCCTATGAATTTAAAATCTACTACAGTTCTCAAAGTCACTTTCTCAATCATTGCTATTCATTAATGCAGTTCAATTTCATTATGTTGATTTCTACTATTTGTACTAGGTTTTTGTTGTTAGCAGCTGGTACATCCTACATTATAGTATGCTATCATTCTGATGATTAGAATATTATGTGAAAGGAAAAGTTAAGATCAAAATACTAAGATTTTTATTTATTTATTTTTATGAAGGGAAGGTAAAAAAAGTCACTTTGTTGTGTGGTTGTCCTTTCTCTAACAAAGACATCAGTTCTATTTTAAATGTATTTTCATAACTAACAGGCAAAACTAATGAGTCAGAAAGCTCTTTTTATTCCTATGGCAAATTATTTTTCTCTTTTACAAACAGTCTTTTGAACTCTTTCTGTACAGTCATGCCTTCTAACACATAGAATTTACTGAGTTTGGAAGACTTTTCTTGTTTTTTTAAATGGGAAATGAAAAAAAGTGCTTGGTGTATTTAAGGCATTTGGACTGTTTTTAAAAAAGCAAAAACCAAAGTATAATATTTCCCTAAACTCAGCCTTCTGATGCAAAAATCATAAACTAGCTATTCATTTGTAGGTGATGTTTGGTTTATGCCTTGCTGTTTGTAGATGATTGTCCAGCTGCAAAAGGAGATCCAGGAGTTGAAGGATGAGCTGGCGCTGGTGACTGGCAAGCAAAGAACGTCAGAGCTTTCACAAGAAGAGCTACTTCAGTAATGGCTTACATTATTTTCATTTTCTTCTTTTGTGGTGAACCTTTTCATCGGTTTCTTTGTTGGCATAAATATTTAAATTCATGCCAGAGTTTTTAACTTCTTGGGGTGAATAATCATGTGAAGCTAGGTGCCAGGTTAGAATAGCAGTTTTCCATGAAAAGCTGTATGAGGCTGCTGGCTGTGTTTTTGCAGCCTCAGCTTTGAGGAAGTGAAGTAAAGTAAACACACAGGATGGGAATGCCTGTCAGATGCCAGGCAAAAAGAATTGTTGTGTAATAGTGCAGAATAAAAAAAAAATGGTCTTTCTCAAAACTATATATACAATCTGAGTAGAATTCAAGGAATATTCTTTGTGCTGAGATGTACCCTGCTGCAGTGTTAGTTTGTCATAGACCATGAGTTTCTGGAGACATGAGGATAAGCTGCTACTTTGAACTTGAGTTTCTCCTGTAGATTGCAGCCATTCTTGAATCTTGGTTCTGATGATTTGGTTTTGTTTTAATTCAGAAAATAAATGAGGACCTAGATAGTATTGTGTATATATTTCTTCTGCACAGTTAATTTGAGTCATTTTCAACATAGACAGTTACCAATATAATCTTCTAACTGGAAATGACCCCTCAATTGCTACTGTGTCAATATTTATTTATCATTCTGCACAAAAGTATAGGAGTCAAATGAACCAAGAACATTACAGGCACTGGATGTGACAAAATCGAGCCATAGAAAGAAAATTAAAGAAGCAACAAGAACAGAGAAGTATCTTTCTTTTTCTTTACATGCAAAATTTAAATGTCTTTATTAGCTAGTTTCTTTCTGTACTGACAGAACTAGTCCTTCAGAAGATGAGTGACTCTCAGTGACCTTATTCGGATAGACTTAAATAATCTACGTAAACATTTAAAGATCTACTTTCCTAATGTTATTTTAAAAATAAGTCGTATTAATTTTCCACTGTGGTCTTGTTTGCTGTTTAGTTTGTATAGGGAAACTGGGTTCTTGGAAATCATTAGGTTTTTTTAGGCCACATTCATGAACGTTACTTCCTAAGATTTCCTATCTGACTTTTTACCGTGAAAATGGTAGTCTTGCAAATGTGAATTTCATCAACTTTCACAATTAATATGTTTTTAATATGAATATGCAAAGGAAAACTAGGAGTGTACCATCTGCATACAGTTACATATATTTTGTGTACATTTAGGAGGTCTTGTTTCAGAAATGTGTTTAAAAGAGTATCAGCCTTTTTCCTCTTTATCTATATAGCACAATCTATAGTGCATTATCTTGTCAGAAAATATTGATTCTGATTTCATAGCAAGGAATTTTTGCATCCCAGAGAGAAGCAGGGAGGAGACTTAAGGAGTTTCTGTCTGTAATAAGACACAGAAGGAGAAAAAACTTTCAAGGACCTCTGCTATATTAGGACAACACAAAATTTTAAGCTTTTCTATTTTATCAGTTATTTATGTTTACTCAGGCTCATGTAGCATCTGTGTTCAGCTAAGTTCATTCCTGAAACAAATGCTCTGCAATTAAAATATAAAACAAAGCTTAAGTACTGCTGGCTGAGATATAATACTTTTCCTGAGGATCAATAATAAAGAAGAAGAATGTCAAACAATTGACCTCATCAGTCACAAATGCCATATAAAGGCTTTGTTCAAAGATCATTATTATTAATACAGATTCAAAATAGAAAAAAATAATTGGATTTACAGGGATTTTTAATGGGTAGCATAGTTTCAAGCAAAGAGCGGAAGATACTGCTAGAGAATAACTATAATATACATGAATCAGACTGGCTTATTAATACTATATGCTGTAGTTGAATGGAGTGTTGAAAGATGAGTCAATCTGCTTTTTAAACAGTTCAAGTGGGGGAAAATATCAAATGTCAGGCTTTGAGTTTTACATTTCTATGTGTTCTTGCAATCTGAGTTTTCCCAGGTAACAGCTGATGTGGACTAAACACCCAAATGAAAGTATAATGAAATGATAGTATAAAAAGCCACTACTTCAATGAAAATAACATCTTTCTGTGGTTTTGCACGCATACACATTTTGAGCTTGCTTTTGTATGGCGATAATATTTGTGACCGTGCTGGTTTATATCTCTCTCAGCCTCCTGTCTGTAAATGTCCTGAGCGTTTATGAAAATCAACAGATGGCATCTAAGTGTTCTGTCTCCAGTTAGAGTCTACCAATGCATAACACAGCAAATCTTTATGACAACTCTGTTTATTGAGACTGGCTATCTGAGTTTTAAACTACTCGTTATCTGGAGAGTTTGTTCACATTGAGGAATAAATATACAAGTAGTCCCAACAGAAGTATTGACTTGGATGAAGGCTGATAAAATCATGGTTTACTATTACTGGAAAATGCCTATGTTGTGGTTTGCATCTAGTTTTGCATCTATAATGAAACCTAAATAGCATTATTTATCAGGAGACGTATAAGTCAGATTGTTAGGAAAGACAGAAGAGGAAAAGAAACATAGTGTAGGTGATAATGCAATATACTGTGTTGCACTTTATTAGTAAAGTCGCCACCCAGGCATGGTTCTTAGGGGAGTGATAAGGGGTTCCAGACAGAATAATCTTTTGTTTGTTTTTTTTCTTTGGCTAATGCATTTTTTAATATGCACAGAGGGGAAATTATAATTGGTGTCATTATGGATTTAAAATAGTAATTAGTCATTTCTGCTTGCTTAGGATATCTTCTGTTTGAACTTAAATAAACTGCATATGTATGCATGTGTGTATATATATAAAAGAACCCCATTTTAATTAGTTCTTTTCAAAGTTCTTAAACTTTGACAAAAGTCTAACTGTGATTCATTTTATTACAAGTAAGGTCGTTAACTAGTAAGGAGAGGTGTTACTGAAGATAGTCTCATAAAAATTTGATGTGTTTTAATTGTTCTTATTCTGATTCATCATACATATTTCAAGTGAGGTCAGAGCAAAATTAATCTTCTGAAAACATTTCTGTGCCAATCTGAACATAGATGATCAAGGTACAAAACATGTCAATGACAAACTCCATACACTATGTACACATTCGTTTTGTTGTCGCTGCACAAGTCTTTATCTCAGGCACTTTTCAGTAGGAGATGGATGCCAAAATGGAACAGATCCAGTGGTATATATGTAGAACCAATAATATTTTTTTTTTTAATTCGAATAAAATGATTAAGTAATGCATAGGTTTTTTTGCTCTCTACATCTGTTGCAGAAAATACGTGTTAGTGATTGCCCCAGAAATAAATCCTAACATTATGCTAAAATTATATTTTGTATGGTTTTTTGACTTACGAAGTCAAGAAATACCAAACATTTCTTACAGTAATGTGCTTCATTCCACTTGTTTACTTTCAGGGCATTCCAAATGAAATCAGTGGGCTATTCAAGCTGTAGTTCATTCTTCATCCTTTTTTTCTCACTTAAATCAAAGAAGTGTCTTTGGGGATTTTTAAATTTATTTTTTTTTATTCATTTAATGGAAGGAAAAAAACATCTGTCAAATAGGCTTTCCTCATAACCACTACAATGTCACATTGTCATTCACTAAATTTAAAACAAAATGGAAAGCAAATGTTCTTGACTTTTCTTGTGAAGGCCAAATTTCAATACAACACAACTTATGAGTCCTGTGAATAAAGCTACAGCTGTCTGGAATTCTTACTTCAGAATTCTGTGTTAAATGGAAAGCTTTTACATTGCTATGTCATAATTTTGATTTTATTATTTTATTGCTACAAATGTTCAACACACACGAATTCTGCCGCTATCATTTTGTTTATTTGAAAAGCGCAGCATAAAAAAATTCAGCTAGGCTACACAAGTGGTTCAAAACATAATTCATAAAATGCTTCCAAAATCTGAATTGCTTGCTTGGGATCTTACCATCTACTTCTTCAGCTGTAAAGGCCTGATCTCTAAATATGTCTTTGAGCTGGAGAATTAATTTATTGCTTAGGGAATGGGAAAAAAAAGGAGCACTTTGGACTATTTTTAAAAAATAGCAACATACATCCCAAATAGAAGGGAGTTGTAATCTCACAGGCTTTTGTGTTATGCTTTAGAATAGAATGAATAGATTTTATTTTCCTTGTGAGAAGCATGCCAAAAGTAAAAGGGAGAGTCCTTTTTGTTTGAATAATTTTTTTTTTGTTGTTATAAATGAGCTCACTAGCAATTTACAATGTGTGCCCAAAAGTCAGGATTTCAAATCAAGTTCCTGTGTTCCAGAGCACCCACGCTTCCAGAGCCTTTGCCAGTTGGAATTCTCTAGGAACAGGACCGGAAGTACTGGCTTAGCACTTTAATTTATTAATAACTTTACCTTATTTCTTTCAGATACATATGTTATTACAGGCGCTTCTATTTTTTACTTCAGCAGTCATATATTGTTCATCTTACTCAAGTCCTGGATTTCTCATTACTTCTTTCTGCCTTTCATTTTTCTGTTTCAACATTGTGACATCTGTATGCTATCATGGTATTAACAATATTGTACTGTTGTACAATATAGAGCTTTAGCAGTTACTCATATTTAAGCTGTTAAACAAATGGTTTCATTTACAAAGCAGAGCAAATGTTCTTATTTGCTGATGTCAGTGTTCAATTTCAGTTGCAAGGTGGAAGAAATAGAAGAGTATTACCTTGCCTTATGTCAACACAGCTTTGCAGGCAGTGGTTTTGTGTAGAATTTAGCAGACTGACTGACATAAGCTGTGTAGGCGATATTCAAGAGAAAAGAAGCTACCTTAACTATAAAGTAGTCTTAAAATGTCTTACATTAATTTCTAGCTTGGATGCCTGATTTAGAATGCGGTTAAATCAATGTATTTCTCTAGAGGGCATTTTTTTTCTCTTACATGGTATAAAATCTTTAGTGACAGCACAGGAAGTTCAGATTCCTAATGCAGGTACCTAAGCTGAATACTTAAAGTGTAAATGCTTTTCTTTGATCTAACTATTTTTTCCAAG